CACCGCTCCAGACCTAGCGTCAACCTCCAGGCTCCATCAGCGGTGCCTGAGCAGGGTGCCCGCCCGGGAAAAGCTGGGCCCCTGCCGGCGCTTTGGACACCCCCCCCCCCCCCCCAGGAACTGTGTCTGGGAGGCCAGAGACGTTGCCTCTCACCTGCATATCGAGCCTTTCCCCCCTCTCCCAGGAGTGCTCGATGAGGAGCTGCAGCGCGTCCTTCCGGCCCCCGGCTGGCTCCGCGGCCCGGAGCCGGCGGATCTTGGCGCGGATGTTTTCCTCGATGCGCGCGTGGATGAGGTTCCGCGCCTTCACGCCCTGGGCGCGGAGAGAGCGCGGCAGTGAGCGGACGCCCGAGCCAGCGTGCCTCCGGCCCCCACCCCGCCAACCGGCCTCACCCGGTACAGCCCGCTGAAGGGCACGTCGATGGGGAGAGAGAAGAGGTTGCGCGTCATCTCCTCGAAGGCCTCCACCAGCTGCTGCTCGTCCTCCGCGCCGCCCGCCGGCCCCGGCTCGCAGCCCAGCAGGATGCGCATGGCGATGCGGAACATGAGGCGCTTCACCTCGGGGTAGACCAGCAGGCCGCGCTCGCCGCAGCTCAGCCACTGCTCCAGACAGCTGCCCACCTCCTCGGCGACCACGGGCACGTAGCCCTGGAGCGCCTCTCGGCTGAAGGCCTGCATAATCACCTGAGGCCCCCCCCCCACGGGAGCGCGCGGCGTTACGATCCTCCAGCGCCCCGACCCCGCCCCCGCGTGCTGGCGGGGAAAGCCGATGAGAGGCTCCTGGTCCCCGCCTGGCAGGGCCAGCCCTCCCCACCCACCCGCACCCCCTTGCACGCGCCCAGCCCAAGAATGGGGGTCCCCTGCTGGCCCAGGCGTTGCCACCGCGCGCTCACCTTCTTCCGCTGCTTGTGCGAAGAATCGTGCAGGTTGGAGAGGCAGCCGGCGCCCAGGATGGTGCGCACCGACGCGGGCCAGTGCACCGCCACCAGGCGGTGCTCCCCCAGCAGGATGCGCCGCACGTTGTCCGCGCCCATCACCCGCACCGTGGGCCGCCCGAACAGATGCGTCTTGTAGACGAAGCCGTATTTCCTGCGCTTCATCTGCAGAAACTTCCTCCGCTGGGGGGTGCGGGGGGAGGGAGCGGAGGAGAGAGACCCCGCGGGGCGCGTGAGGGGGCGCCGGGGAGCGCCCGGCCTCCGTCTAAGCCTCTCTTCTCAGCCGCAGTCGCCTTCCTCGCCAGGACACAGGCTAGTCCCGGCTCCGGCCCGCGCCCGAAGGCGAGGCGGACTCTGGGGGAAGTGAGCGGCGGCTCCCTGCCCGGGGACACCCCCCCCCCTTACCTGCAGCACCATCTGCAAAGTCTCCCCAAAGAAGGGGAAGCCCATGGTCCCGGGGGGCAGGGGGAGGGCGCAGGCCCGGTCGCGGCTGCTCACGCAGTACAGCTCCCAGAGCTTGAGCGCCGCCAGGAAGAGCAGCAGCGGCAGCACGAAGGTGCAGAGGGCGCTGGCCAGCAGCGCCGGGAGCCCCATGGCGCGCCGCAGCCTCCCGCGCCACCTGCCGCCGCCCGCGCTCCCGGCCCCGCCGCGCGCCCTCTTTATAGGCCGCCCAGGTTACTGCCCACGTTACCTTGGTCGGACAAATTAGTTCACCCAAAGTTCATCTTTAATTGCGGACCGGGCCCCTGGCTCCTCCCCTCTTCGAGGCGCTGCCCAAAAAAATCTTTAACCGTTTGTTCCGCGCGCCGGGGCAGGGGCAGAGGCGGCGCGCTGGCGGCTTCCCTCCGAGCGCGCCTCCTGGGGTGCGGGTCTGGGGACGAGGCCTCCCCCCCCCCGTCCTGGGTGTGCGGAGCCCCCGGGGTAGCGGGGAGCGACTGGGGGACGGGGGATGGGTTGTGGATCGGGGTTCCAAGACGCGGGAATGTTCGGTTCTGGGTTTCCTGGGTTTCCTAGCCGTCTCTCTGCTGTCCCCCCCCCATCTCCACACCCCCCCTCCCCGCGCCGGGTCGGACCAGCTTCCCCAGCCCGAAGTCGCCTTCCTGGTTCACGGGCGCCTCGCCGGCAATTTTTCCGTTTGCTTGGAAAGCGCCTTCAAGAATCACCGTTCGGTGGACTTGACCCACAGGTTGGGTAAATAAGATCCCGAACGCTTCCCGATCGGTGAGGATCCCCGAAAGATCCCAGGGCCAGGGTCCAAGCCGGAGTCTCGGAGGTCGAGTGTGATTGGCAGATCGCGGCGCCTAGCTCTCCACTGCCCCACCAGCGAGCCGGCGCACGAGGTCTCGGAAAGCCCTGCTTTAGCGTGGAGCGCCTGCGAGCCTCGGGTCTCCGGGACCCCGGTCCAGCCTCGCGCAAGCCCGAGTCTCCTGCTCTAAGCCCCGGTGGGCGAGAGACCAGTGGCTCCAAAGTCAGCGCCCAGCTGTGGGGACACCGCCCAGTCGACCCAGTTTCTAGAACCCTGGGGCTTGCGACCCCAGCCAGGCACCCGGGGGAAGAGGGCCCCCAGCCCAGGCAGACGTGGGGAGGAAGACGGGGAGGAAGCGCGGGAGTCCCTTCCCGCCTCCGCGCCTCGTCTGAGTCTCAGTGAGCCACCAGGCTTCTGTTTCCCTCCCTGAGGATGGGTCTATCCTTTCCGCTCCGTCCACACCTCCAGGCAGATGTGAGTTCCCAGAGGGGCCTTCGGGCTTCCAAGTGGCACATTAGGCTGCACTAATAGAGCGGGCTAGCGTCAGGGCTCCAGAACCTTCCCCCAGCCTCCCAGATCCCACCCGAGGTAAAGCCTGGTGAGAGGGCTGTTCAGCCCTACGCTTCTGCCGCCGGCCATTGGGGTCGGCCAGGGAACCCGTCCTGGGGAGCGTCCAAGGATTGTGTAGAACTTCAATCAGCAGCTCCGGCAGCCAGAACCGCGCACAGGGAAACTGCGTGGTGCGCGCGCGAACACGCACACACACACCCGCACACGCACGCACACACACACACGCACACGCTGGCCTTCTCACTTCCTCCCACCACACCGCTTCTGCCAGCCAGTGCCACACACTGCTTTGGTTTGGGTACTAATCGCAGCAGTGGCGCGGAAAACAAACAGCATGACTTGTGTTTATTTAGAACTGAACATGGGTTCTAGCGAAAGCACACCCGCGGCCCTGGGAAGAGCCCATTGGAGACGAAAATAAATTTTTTTTTTTTTTTTGCCTCGTGAAAGCTGTTCGATATGTGGTCTTCCAGCGGTAGTCCCTAAACGATCCCTCTCCCCCCACCCCGGGTCCCAAAATACCCCCAAAGGTCGTGAGGACTCCCCACAAACCCAGCCGCTCTCTAAGCCGGGATGCCCATGGGTTGTAGCTCAGGGATCCGGTGGTTCCCCGTAACTTTCTCGGTCCAGCGTTTCAGAGGATCTGGGCAGGCGGGAGCGGCCGCTGTCCTATCTGGTAATGATTTGGTTACTGTAAAGAATGCGGTCCAACTTCTGGCACCGGCAGAAGGCGGACGAATTGTGCTGGAGGTAATTCTCAGAAATCTCGGTCCGCCCCTTTCTGGAGAGCGCCTCCGGCCGGTGCGCAAAGCCGGCCAGCGGGGGCGTGACCTGGGGCCCATTCCCAAGCCTTTTAGCCTGACCCGCCTGTGACCCCTGCGGGCCGGACCGTGACATCCCAGTGAACTTTGCCGGGCCACCCTACCAAGTTCAGCGTGCGCCGGGTCACAAGATGAGCCCGGCTAGCGCGCTGGAAATGTGGAAATGGCCACGGGGGGGGGGGGGGGGGGGCACAACACTTAAAAAACAAATACGAAATCTAAGTGGCCATCAGGATCGGCGGGAGCATAGCAGGAAAACATGGAATGTTAGCGCGCCAGACCATTTAAAGTTCTCGAAGGGACAGGGAATCAATAAATTACCCGCCCAATAAGAACTTTGATCTAGGAACGTCACTGACGTTTATTGGGTGGCGGTGGGTGGGGAAGGGGAGGTCGGCTCTCCTGGAGACAAAATGTGTGCCAAACCGTTTTCTTATTCCTGATGCTGTGGGGAGGCAGGGGTTGGGTTTCGGGTGGTGGTTTTTTTTCTCTGTTTTCTTTTTGCTAGTGGGCAGGGGTGGCAGAAATCAGGTGGTCAGAACAACCCCCTGGGTTTCTCTTGGCAGTCCATAGCTGCTGCTGTTCTCACCTCTGGCTGGGGATCAAGGCCAAAGCAACTGACCCCTGCCCGTGTCACCTCTGACAGGCTCCCGTCTCCAACTGCAGGGATTTATATCGGGGACACTGTGTTAAAGGTCTGGGTTTCGGTGGTGGCGGTGTTTTTCGTTTCTTTATGCTTTTCGCTACTGGGCATCATGGTGGGTTTTGTTTGTTTGTTTGTTTGTTTGTTTTTGTTTGGTTGGTTTAGTCATTGTCTGCCTCTTTATGTGAACATAAAGTCCAAGGTCCAAGAACTGTACCTGCTCCTTCCCTACAGATTCGGAGCTACCTAAACCAGGAACCTACACATCCCTTAATATCAGCGATCAGATGCAGCAGTGGGGAAGGAGAGGGAAACCAGAGCAACCTCCATGGTGCTCAGTTGGTCCAGACCCCAAAGCAAGTATACAAGCCTCTTTGAACCAGTTTGTCCTGGCTTCTGAGAGACACCTCCCTCATTTTTTCCTCGCTACATCAGAATCAACCTCGGAGCAGGGTTTTTTGGTCTCCTCACCCAAATCCAGGCTTCTCAGATGCTCAGGGTGGTAAGGCCTGCACCATACCTTTGCTCCCTCTGGTGTTTGGGCCCTGGCCTCTACTCTGACCAACTATGGGCGATTAACTGTCTTGTTTAGGGATTAGAGTGCTATTAACCTCAACAGCTGCTAACCTTCAAGTACCTGAGTATGGCCCCCTTGCCTTCAGGCCCCAAGATCCACTCTAAGTATAAGGTCAGGAGGCCACCAATTTGCCCCTGCAGTGTCAGCCCAGGCCCCTTCCAGCTTCCTTGTCCTCTTACCCAGGAGCGTGGGAAAGTGGATGGCAGGTTGAAGTGGGCTTTGGGGATAAGGGCAGGACCCTGGTGGCTTTGATTTAAGCAGTGGTGGGAACCTCTGGATTGGAAAAGGCAGACAGTCCTTTAGACAGACGAGGATCAGAGGAGAAACAGGAAGAGAGGATGCAGCACAGAAGTGGCTCCTCAGGAGGGTCATAGGTCTCTTTAATCCTCAGTAACAGTGCGAAGAGTGAAGCAGTAAGAACAGCAACTCTGTGGGCAGATGATGCAGAGATACTCCAAAACCACCATCCACATCCATAGTCCAGATTGAAACATAGGACTGAAGCTGCCCAGCTTCTAGGCCTCGGGTACAGGCTACAGGTAGGTCCTTCAGGTGTATCTCTGTAGCCCTTCCTCTCCCCCCTTGGCCATCACACCAGGGTAATAAATACCCAGGTGAGCCCCAGCCTCCTTACTCAACCACTGGCAAAAAAAAAAAAAAAAAAAAAAGTTACTTCTTGGCCTTCCTGTTTTGGTACAAATATCTCAAATCTCTTGTTTATCTCAATTCTCCCAGGAATGAATTATGCCTCAACCTCGAATGAACCAGACTTAGAGACAGCTCAAGAGAATGTATCATCTTCTATATAAATGAGGACATTAAATACATCCTTCAAGTTGGAATTTTTCTCTTTAGAAGTCTCTAGAAGAATCTGCCAGCAGGAGCCCTGGGGCCCTCTTGGTGTGTCTCTTGAACAAACAACAGGTCCCGTCTGGTACCCATGCTGGTATCTCTGCTGACTTAAAAAAAAAAAAATTACAAATTCTCTTCTAGTTTGAAACATATACCTAACTACCACCACCGCTGCCGCTGCCGCCTGAGCCCCAAATCCAAGGTCCCTGGCAGACTTGCCACCTGAAGCTGGTTTCATTTAGTGGAGATAGGTTCTCTCCACCGCTGGCTGCTCCGAGATCTTGGGAAGTGCCTACCATGTGGGGCGGGCACCTCCTACTCTTCCTCCCTACGCCCAGCACTTCGCCACTGAGGTCACTGCGGTCACTGCGGTGTGGGTGGCTCATTCTGCTACTTCCAGTCTAGCAAAGTTGTACCGCAAGCGTTTGTTAAGCCCGTGTCTGGATGAACGGGCGGGAGAGCGAGGAGGACCTAGGACGCTGAAGATGGGCAGCGCTGCTTGTGAGCAGCAGCCAAGGCTGGAGAAGCGGCGCGGGTCAGAGGTGTGGCCCATCCCCCGCACCCGCAGTCCCGAGGGGATGGAAGAAGAGCAGCAGCCCGTCCACCGGGTGCACGATCGGCAGCGTCTGCATGGCCGGGAAGGCGGGGGTCGCCAGCTCCCAGCGCGCGGTGCGCACCAGCTCCACGGCCAGCAGCTGCAGCACCGCCAGCGCCAGCTCCTGGCCCAGGCAGCTGCGCGCGCCGCCGCCGAACGGGATGTAGTGAAAGCGGCCGCAGGGGCCCCGCGCATCTTCGCTCTCCACGCCGAAGCGCTCCGGGTCGAAGCCCTCGGGGGGGCTGCGGTACACCGCGGCTGTCTCGTGCGTGTCTCGGATGCTGTACATCACGCTCCAGCCTTTGGGGATCTGGTAGCCCTGCGGAGGGGGGAGGGGGCGTCTTGATCCCCAAGCTCCGGGAAACGGCTGGAGCCAATCCATCCCCCGCCCCTCCCCAGAAGCGCCCAAGAAACCTCCGGGGGCCGGTGATTAATTAAGCCTGAAGCCAAGAGGTCTGTGTTGCAGACTCAGAGCCTTCACTGGTGAGCTATAAGAGCTCGGACTGCGCCCCCCACACACATACTTCTTCGTTGGGAAAGTGGGAATAAAAGATGCCCGCGCTGTTGGGAGAGGTTCAGAGAGAGGCTGGCACACATTAGTGCCCATGAAATCGAATGTTACTTCTGAGTTTGTTGCCTTTCTCTTCCCGTTTTCTTCTGACACGGAAGACTCAACGTTGTAAGAATGTGGCTGCCAGCTTGTCTGAGCTGGAACAGCTCCTACGACAGGGAACCGTCACTCCTCTGGGACAGTTCACTTATTAAACCCTCCTTTGCCCTTGACTGAAGACTTCCCGGCCTTCCCGCTCACCTCCGGACAGTAACACCACCCCGCGCTTGCGCTCTAAGCGGAGGCACACCCTCTTCGCCCACTCCTACCCTCGGCTCTCTTAACCCGCCCGCCCTCTTGCCCCCTGCTGGGTATTGCAAACTCAGGGCCTCATTCACGCTAGGAAAGTGCTCCTCTGCTGACCTACATTCCCAGCCTGCTACGCTCACTCACGTGTCTTCCAGTCCCTGAAGTACAATGCCACCTGTCCCTCAAAAGACTGCCCTGTTAGAAGCCCTTGGAGAGTCAATGCCGTTCGGGAGAGAACACGTTGGAATCACCCAACGAAGGCGCTTTCCTCTCCAGCCCTCAGTTTCCCCATCTGTACAGCAGAGGGTGGGGAGTAGGAGCTTGTCTGCGCCCCACCCACACTGCCCTGGAAGCTGCCTGGCCCTCGGTTCCTCTTCGTGTTTTCCCGGGCACCCCCCCCCACGCACCATCAGGTCACTTCCCAGGACAGTCTTTGGCTGGGCAGAGCTCCCCCTCTGGTTCATCCCTTATGGCTGTTATCATCCAACACTAGAGATCCCCCTGCTTCACTCCTGTGGTCCTGGCTCCCGCCCTGCCTCTCTGCATGGTGCTCCGTGTAGGTGGAATCTCTATCGCTTCAATTCCCCCCCCCCGCGCTCCCCCCTTTGTTCAGGGTGCTGCAGCAAAGCTCTTCAGGCAGAGAGCCTCAAGTTCCGCAGTGGGAGTTCCCCAAACCCCAAAGCTACCAATTCATGAAACACCCACAGCCTCCTATGGAGGCCAGAAAAGCCAAACTAACTTCCTCCCAGAAGGTAAACTGAGCCCCACACTAAAGGGAGAACGGCCTGAGGTTGTTCTGAGATGTAGTCAGACCTGGTTCTTAACTTTGTCCAGCCAAGGGCAGCCCGATGAAGCCATTAAGATTTTGTTCTTTGTGTTTAGGCTGTTCCGTTTCTCAGGAATACGACCAAAGTCCAAGCCACATACACTGGCTACGAGAAGCGCATCTCAAAGAAAAACGGTTGTGCTCTAAAACTCGGTTCTAGTTGAGTTCACCTAGCTGAATCGCTAACAAAAGCTGAAGCATATAAAATATCTAACCCCGCTCTGGAGTGGAGGAAGGAGAGTCTGGGAAATAGAATAGGGCTCAGGCCATTTGACAGGTGGGAAAGCTGAGGCCTGAGGCCCCGGCAGGGCAGAGAGATCCCTCCTCCCAGCACAACGCCGCTGCAAGCGCCCAGAGGCCGCGGGGCGGCGCACTTACGTCCAGCTCAAAAGTGCGCAGCACAGTGCGATAGCCCCCGGACACCGGCGGTAGGAGGCGCAACACCTCTTTGACTACGCAGTCGACGTAGCGCAGCCGGCCGAGCACCGCCAGGCTGAGGTCGGGCTCACAGCTGCAATCCGGTGCCGACCCAGGGGCCCGGGGTGGGCAGTCGCAAGCGCGCCCCAGCCCCTGTGCGGACAGCTCCTGCTGGATTTTGGCGATGGCCGCTGGGTGTTGCAGAAGCAGCAGGATGAGGGATGTGCTGGCGCTGGCCGTGGTGAAAAAGGCGGCGAAGAGGAGCTCCACAGCCGACTCCTGCAAGACAGCCGGCAGGTTCTGAACCTACCATGAGGGTGTAAAGCGTCTCTTGTGCTCTTGATGTCCTGCCCCCGGGGGCTAAGCTCAGGGCTCTGAAATCGGCCAGAACTCGGGTCTATCACTTGGGAAAGTCCTGTTGAGCGACAGGCAGTACCAGCATCTATATACACCTTCTTTGGACGAGTCCTCAGAGGCGATGGCAGGGATATTATTCTGTGAATTATCCTTAGTACTTTAAATATATGAAGTCGTTAGATTCTCACCAAATCGCTCTGTAGGGCGCAACCACCGCTCCTATTTTATGGGGTTGGAAACTGAGGCTCTGAAAGGCGCTCCAAGTCGGGACAGACAGACACACCTGCAGCCCAGCCTTGCTCCAGCGCGGGCAGGCTCTTCACCTTCTCCCTTACCCTTCCTGCCCTGCTTTGCTGAAGGACATTCCACAGGCTTGACCCCCTGCCCAAGTCTACACAACCTTCCTTCAGCGTAGGCCGGTGTTTCTGCTTGCACGCTGCTTCCAGTGGCCACAGGGCTTAGAGCAGAACGCAGCAGCCATTCTGTACCCCAGCACAGACTCTGGCATTGTGAATACTGTTGGTAATAACTGTTGGTCCTACCTTGGACAAAATGAAACTAAGATGGAGACCCCAGAGCCCAGATACCCTCTGGGGCCCGGCCCAGCCAAAGGGCCCCATCTACAGGCCCTGTTACTCCCTAGTGCTGTCAGAGTGCAAACTACTGCTTCCCTTCATGGCCCAGCACTGTCTTGGATGCCCAGAAACCCGGGACACAAAGACTATTGCTCATTCTCTCCCGAACCCTTTGGTGCCCTAGAATCCTATCAAGAAGAAGAGAGATTAACATTTCCATTCTCAGAGGAGAACGCTGAACTACTTTTAGAGGTTGGGGGGGGGGGGCACAGAACACTTGAGGGTGCCCCTTGGGAGAGCAAAGTCTTCACGTTTCTAAGTGTCCCTGTTCCTCCCTCCCCCCCATCACTGCTTCTTGACCCCGGAAGCAGGTCCCTCCTGCACCCCACCACACACACTCTACCTACAAGGGGAGGGGTCCCCATTCTATCGGAGGCTTTGCAGCAAGGGAGGAATTGGCGGGTGCCAGGTGCGGAGCTCGTTTTATAAAAGGAGCGTTGATTTGTCAAGGAAAAACATAGCTTTGAGGGCGGGGAGTCTGATGAGCTTCAGAGCTCAGGCAGGAAGGGAAGTGTGCGAGGATGGCAAAAAGATGGGGTGGAGGAGGGGCCAAGGGGTGAGGTGTCCAGAACCTGTAGGGCCAGACTTTGGATTTGATGCTACTGGAGGAAGGCCTACCATGCGAGGCTTCACAGCTGGCAGATGCAGCAGAGTCGTGACTGGAACCCAGGGCCCTTCTTTTTCACCCTGAGCTACCTCTGTGCCTCAAAATGGTATTTAAAAGGCTACGTAACTGGGAATGCATCATGTGTGCTGGGACCTCTGAGGAAGGAGAGTCAGGGGAGGAAGGCGTGGCCTCCCCATCACCTACCTTCAACTCCTGCACGGAGACCTCCTGGCCCTGCACCCTAGCGCTGCTGATGATCAGGTGCAGGGCGTCCCCTGGCTCTGCTGCCTGCTCCTCATGAAGCTTCTGAGCAATGGCCTCATCCAGGTGCTGATACAACAGGTCCCTGGCCCGGATGCCCTGGTGTACAGGGAGAGAGGGCAGATAGGGCAGGAAGGCTCAGGGGCCAGGCTTGACCTAACGGGACCTAGATCGGTGCTTCTCAACCTGTGGGTCGCGACCCCTCTTGGGGAGGGGGGGCTTAACCGGCCTTTTCACACAGGTCTCCTAAGACCATCGAAAAACACAGATATTTAGATTATGGTTCATAACAGTGGCAAACTTACAGAGTAGCAACAACAATAATTTTATGGTTGGGGCTCACTACCACATGAGGCGCTGTACTGAAGGGTCACGACAGTAGGAAGGTTGACAACCGCTGTCCTAGATCCCGGTGTTGGTCTTGGCTTAGCTCCACACCTAGCCCGGGGTAGGTAAGGCTCCCTAAGCGGTCATAGATCCGTCTACTGTCTACAAACGTCATCGTCTTGATAATCATCACCCGCCTCTCTGGCAAGACAGTTTCGGTCACCTAGAGGGCAGAACAGAGACCTGGGGGGAGGGGAGCCCCTGTTCCCTTACAGCTGCTCGTGCCCACACCTGGCACAGACCATCGGGGCGTAGTCAGCCATCGCCCTGTCCCTGAACCGGACTCAGATGAGCATCAGTGCTAAGAGAAAAGGAACACCCGGAAAACTCGGCGGAGGCTACCCTGTAACCAGCTTCTGTGGCGGGTTGAGCAAAGCGCGCAGGGATGGCTCTCCGGGGTTCCGGAAGCAAGCGCAGCCAAAACCTCCCGCCGGGGTGGGGGGGAGCATTGAAACCCAACACTTAAGTTTTGTAGCCAGAAGTGTCTCATTGAAATCTTGATTGTGTTTTTGCTTGTCACTGGAGTGACTTCAAGGAGGCCTGCTCGTCAATAACATGAGAATAACACTTTGCTGGGTGCAAGGAAGGACTAAGCCGGAAACCATCGCAAGGTGACCCGCGCACATCAAGATTCTTCTTATTATTATCATTATCATTATTATTATTATTTCAGACGTATTCTTTTTATTCAAGCGATTGAACGCTCTAGGGCAAAGGGAGAAAGAAGGCAGGACTCAGCTTCCTTTAGCTCTGGGGCCCCGCCCATGACTCAGAAAAGGCCTCACTTCCCTGACACCAGCGGGCCCAGGGCCGCGGGCTGGGAGCCGACACCCATCCCCTACACCAGAGCCGGCGCCGGGCTTCGTCTGCTGCCCTCCGGCTCCCGAGGACTCCGCAGGGCCAACCTTCCAAAGGGTTCTGGAGCCCCTGAGGCGCCGCTTTGAGGAAGGACAAACCGCCTGTCTGGATGCCTGCCGCTAAGACCCAAACTCAAGAAGGCTACACTGGCGCAAGACCCTGAGTCACGAGCATCCCATAAAGGGTCTGCCCTGCCTCGGGTCGGACAGAGGAGCAGCCCTGATCAACACCAACCATTACCCCACCGCACGCTGGGACACGCCCTCGGGCCAGGGTACCCGGCCTGGTTTGGGCGACCCTCTGGGGCCAGCGGCTGAAGTGTGGGGCGGCATTACCTTGCGCAGGCCGCTGAAGGGGACGTCCAAAGGCAGTGAGAAGAGGTTCTCAACCAGCTGCTCAAAGGTCTGGGCCAACTCCGCGCAGCGCGCTTCGTCCAGCTGCAGACCCAGCAGGATGCGCACGGCCATGCGGAAGGTGAGCGCTTTGGCCGCCTGGTAAACGGCCACGGGTCCTCGGGCGGCGCACCAGGAGCGCACCTCCCGCCGTAGCGCCCCCTGCAGCCGTGGCACGAAGTGCTCCAGAGCGGGGCGGCTGAACACGCGCGCCAGGACCTGCGGGAGTGCGCGGATCAGCGCAGGAAGGCTGGCCTCCGCGACTCCGCAGCCTGGAGGCGAAGTCCAGGCCCTCCTCCTTCCTCTTCTGAGCCGCACAGGCCTAAACTTGCTGGCTTGGTTTCTTCCACTTTGATGTGCCGGGTCCCTCCCATCCACCTAGGCTCCAAATGCTGGCTGCTCCCCAAAGTCATCCCTGAGCCCTCTTAAATCTGAACCTCCAAATCTGCTGGCATCTGGCACAGATGATCTGGAATAAAGGACTTGTAGCTCTGCCCTGGCTTTACAGTTCCAGACCCGGTCATTTAAGGAGTCTTACCCTGCCCTCCCCCGCCCCCCCCCGCCCCCCCGTTCGTCTAGCAGGGACCCTGGTCAGATTCTCAGCAGCCTCTGGCCTGGTTCACCGCGGGCACCCAGGGACCGCGGCTCTTAAGTCTCCCCCTCACCTTCCGCTTTTGCCGATGGGGCTCGCCAACCGCGCCGAGGAGGGTGTGCGAACCTAGCAGGATGTGCATGCTCTGCGGCCACTGGCTGCGCACCAGGCGGTGCTCGCCCAGCAGGATGGTGCGCACGCTCTCGGCGCCGCTCACGCGGATCACCGGCCTGCCCAGAAGGTGCGTCTTAAACACGGTCCCATAGCGCTCGCGGCGGGAACTGTGGAAACGAGAGCCCTGCGGGCAAGGCGGAGCTTGAAGGGCCTCCGGGTCAGCGGGGCTGAAGATCCGTCCCTCTGCCTCTTCCTAACAACTCCCTCGTCCCCGGGCTGTCACATTAGTTAACAAAACAAGATTCAGCCGGGCCTCTCGGCTCCTCAGAGGGAACGTAGGCGCCCGCTGGCCAGGTGAGATACAGGATTAGATCGGGAATGTGAGCGCCCAAGGGTGCATGGCTGAGATGCGGCTCGCCCCAGCGGCTTTTCAGCCCGTGCTTGCAAGACGCGGGCATCGCCTGCCTCAGATGCTCCCCTAAGCCCCTCGTTCACACCTACGTTGTAGCAAAGGGTTAAAAATGTGCTTAGAACTTCGGCGACATGGGGTCTCTTAGAAGGAACAGGGTAGCTGGGTGATGGCAAAGGTTTGCATAACCCCCAGACCCGTGGGTAAGGACTCTAAGGAAGCGCACTGAGGACAGGTGCCCTGAGAACCGAGAGCGGCCAATGGGAGATGGCCAGAATTGCCGATAAAACTACTCACCTGAACCAACCAGTGCAGCGTTTCCCCCAAGAATGGCCAGCCCATGGAGCCCTTGGGTAAGGGCAAGGCAGAGGCCCGATCCCGGCTCAGCGTCCAGCGCAGGGTCCAGAGCTGTTGGGCCAGGCCAAGCAGCAGACCGGCACACAGGAGAGTGGTGGCCGCAGCCCCCAGCATGGACAAACAGCTCAGCCCCCAGGAAAACATGATGAGCCCGGGCGGAGGCTAGGCCACTGGGAAGGCAGAGTTCACCTATCCAGCCCAGAAAAGGCCCCGGATTAGGAGCCAAGCCAGAGATTAACAAATTCAGACAAAGCTTCTGCTGCCCTTGAAACAAGACTGTCCGTGGAAGGCAGTAACCCTGAGCGCCTAGAGAGTTAGCCTTCCTGGAGGCCGGATACCCGGGACATTTCCCCCAATTTTAATAAAAATGTGCCACCACTCCATGGTGGGCCTTTGCCTCCTGACGGCTCTTCACCTAGTGTAGGAGCTGTGAGCGAGGCAGAGAGAAGGAACTCACCGGCGGGGGTGGGAGGGCGCTGCCAACCACTCTTGCGCTTGCCGGGGCTGCAGACCCCGGCCCACCACCTCTTCTCCCTCCCCGCCTACGCTCCGCATGTTTTTATAGATATGCCTCCCTCCCTACGGACTGGCCCTGGGTCACACAACGTGACGTGTCTACTCGTATTTTAAAGCGTCCCACTTGGAATGATGGAAGCAGTGGGCAGCGGCCCGCTCACCTCGCCATCCAAATGGGGAGTGGCATCTGGGCGGGGGGCCGGGCCCCATAGGCATCCTCGGGCGGGGCCTGCGGTTTTGCACCGTATCTTGGAGCTCTTGAGCTCTCGGTGCAATGCGAGCACCTAGCAGCACCAGCGTGAGAAGCCCACAGGAAGCGGATGCTCGGGCCCCTACCCTTAGCCTCGAAACCTCTACATGAAGGCTAACCGACCTGCCTGGGCTGCTTTCCTTGGCTCGGTCTCTTTCAGGAAAGCTGATTGTGACTCTAGAGGTCCAGAGGGATGGCTGAGGTTTTGTACTCTGACCCCCTGCGGCTCCTAGTTCTCCAATCTGCCACTTCAAGGGAGCCTCCAGGAGAGGGTAATTCCACTGCTCCTAAGCTTCACAGGGGCACCCCAAGTCCTTCAGGTAGCCTGGGCGCAGCTCTGGTCTCGGGATCAAATCAAAATCTCACTTCTTTTTCATTGCCATGTCAGCAATCCCGCCCCCTCCCGGGGCCTACCAGCTGGCATCTTGGGCTTTTGTGCCCCATTCTAGGCTGCAATGCCTTTCTGCCTTCCGGATAGCTAACAGCGCTATCTGGAGATGTGGGGGGAGGTGCGGGAGGTGCCTGGTTTTTGGAAAGAGTGCAGAGGAGCCCAACGGGTGTCTGCTTCAGGCGACATGGAGGTTCCTCTTCCCAAATCCCCAGAGGCCTGAGCCAAAGCCAGGAGTGTCCCCCCAAAACACAGCGAGCCAGTCACACTGACTTCTTCAGAGCTGCCTGAGCACCACCGCTCCTAACATCCAGAATGCACTGCGTCCTAAGAATTCCTGTATTTTTTTTCGTGTAATAATTTTAAACGTTGAAATGCTTTCATTATTTGTTAAGAGAACTAATACGTTTTGTTTTGTGTCGTGCCCATTCCGAAATAATAGGCCTGGAGGAGGCTGTTTGAAATAAGAAGCTCTGAATAGTTAAAACAGCATCTTTAACAACTCTCAACCTTTTTAATGTTTTTTATCACAAAATCCACACATGGAAGCAAAGCTCTTCACGCTCATTTTACAGAGTCAGGTAATCTTACAGGCATAAACCCAGAAAATGCAAAGGGAGGTCCTTCAGCGTAATTACAATGGAGAGAAAACAGGCCGGGTTTCCATCCACGTGTGTCGCTGTGACTTACTCAGAGGAAAATGTACACTTGCTGTAGGCTTCAGAGTTCAGCTGAACTTGCTTGTTTCCGCCGCACACAGCGTCTACTATCTGCGGAGCATTAGCCTGAATCCTGCATCTTAGGCAGGAAGAACATGAACCAGGACAAGCTACCCCTAACATCAACAGCCCCTTTAACTGACTTCTCTTTTAACTTAAACCCACCTAAAACTTTAAAAAACAGGGTCAGCTACAAGAAGTACAGACAGAAATATTAACTTCAATGAACAACCAACTCTACATCTTTAGAAAATCCAAACCCTTTTCTTCATTTTCAGAGTAACTAAGCTATCCAAACAGAACAAAGAACTTGCCACTCCCTGTGAGCTGAGTTTGATTTCAGAAACTTTCAAGATTTGTGTATTTCTTACTCAGAATCAGCAGAACTAAAAAATTTAGGCCATATTAGTCACACTGAGGTGAAAATAAAAACTAAAAGTCCAACAATGACAGCAAAATATTCCCTTATCAGCAGTGGCTACCTTCAACTATAACGACACACTGGGAAACTCCTTCAAGCTTAAATAGAAGAAAAAATACTTACAAGCAGAGACATAAAATTTTCTAATGTTTGAGATCAGTTTCATATACAATTTATTGGGTTTATATATTACAACTTTTTGAATTTTCCTCTAAAATTGAAAAAAAATTGTTACATTTTTATATATAAAATAGTATTCAGTTATTTAAAAATCCATACAAAGATGTTTGTTACCATCATTGCTTAAGCCCTCATCAATGTATCTCCTCTGTTGTGTTTTTGGGTTGTGTAAACAAATAACTGTCTCGTGACAGTGCTGGCCACTGAGAAGCACTGAGCCGTGGTCTGACTTGCCTACGTGTGCTGGGACATACCAGTCACCAGGCCTCTGAGCTGTCTCACCACTGTCTCTATCAGCTTCTCTCTGTCTCGGTCATTCTTCCGGAACTGGGCGAATATATTATTTTTCTTGCTGCTGTCCTTCATCCTACAAACACAGACAGATATAGATGCTTAGAAAAAGAAAACTGCTGCCTCAAGATTTACAGATTTCTTTCTTCTTTCCTTCTCTTTCTTTCTTCCTTTCAACATGCTCTGAATTACCCACCACTACCTGTGGTTGAAATGAAAATCAGTACTACCAAACTTACCAATACAGAAACCATATGAACAGCGAGAAAATGATGATCTTGCACTAGCAAGCAAGTCTAAGATATGTGCTTTATAACACCACGTTATTTCCTAATATCAAGCATAAGGTTTGCTAGAATATCTTACACAGCCTCTAACACACACCCATAGCAGGACTATGTGAATGTGAAAATGGCATCAGAAGGTTTTAAAATACAATGTTTTTGCCTCAGTGTATTTCATGTTGTTATAAAATAAATTTATATAAATTGTGAATAGTTTCTTACATCTTTTCAAATCAAATGACCACAGATATATTGAAATTTGGAAAAACAATCTACAATTTTAACATACAACTGTACACTTTAACAGTTACACTTTAAACAAAATATGACTGAGTGAAAGAAAGGTTTCCACACGAGGGGTTAGCCACACCAGTAAACCCTAGTGTCTCATTTTCACAATACAATTTCTTCAAATCATGTATTTCTCTACCTGCAAAGAATCCAAGACTTAGATACCATCCCATTTCTTGACCCTGTTTTATTTTATGTTTAAGTAGCTCCCATTCTTATATATCCGTGTAAAGCCTTTTCTCTCCTGTGGGGGGATGGACTCTGGACCCAACACAAAACTCTCTAAACTGTCACATACGCTCAGGTTCCCACCTACATATCTGTAAAGCACACTGAGCCTGAGACTTTCACGGTACATTAGGAAAAAAATCATTTTCCTCACGTATGTATTAAAACAATTCTGAAAGGCAAGAAAGAGACTTCTGTTTTGTTCATCAAAATGTACTGAATTTCTCTCCTTTCTTCCGGGGTTTCATGCTCACTAGTATAATCTCACCTCCCTCAAACTCAATCCTCCTGCTTCAGGGCTGGCCTGACTGGCACATAACATCACACCTGGCTGGGCTGAGCTTTAAGCCCATTTTTCTTTCCAAAGAAATTTCTAGTTCTTTATCACTGAATCAGAACTTGTGTCAGATGCTATCCAAATTAAAAACAAGAACAACAAAAATTGTTTAGAGAACATACTCACTTCTCCAAAAGAGTAAGGGCCGAGTGTGGGTTCACACGGAGGTACTTGGAAGCTGGCTGTCCATAGTCAGCTAGATATGTAGACCAATCCCAAACCATGAACAAGTCGAGGAGCTGAGGAAAAGGATGGAAATATCACACCAGCTCTCAGACATCTGCTCACACAGAAATCAACAATATGCTTCTTGTTTCATTTCTACATGGAAATTCACTTCAAGATGTAACTAGTGTTCTTCACAACCAGAATAGTATTCCTCATTTTTTTATTTTGGAATTGCTAAAATTTTCAGTGGTTACTGTTCTAACAGTTTTTGGCATTTTCACACAATTGGCAGTCACACCAACACCTGTTACCTTTGCACACTACCTGACGCTCAGGCCACGGTGAGGCTCTTGCCACCTGTATATAGAATCAGAAAGAGCCTTTTTTTCTTAGAGGTATGTTTACCTTCCAAAGAAGCTGTTTGCAGCCAGACTTTCCTAAAGTAACCTAAAGCAAAAGCTTGGATAATCTCAATTAGGTACATTAAAGAACCTCTGTTGGCTTCTCTTCGGTGACAGAGCTCGGAATCACGATGGAACCGCGCTCCAGGATTCGGCCTGTTAACTCTCGCCAATCATTTTGTGTAAACAAACAACAACAACAAAAGACATCTGTTTTCCGTAGTGTCTCAAAACTGACTTTCTGCTGTATAAAGCCCACTTAGAATCATCGTCAAATATTGTTATAATCTTTTAAAAGCCATGCGCTGCCGACCGAAAGCATCAAAGTCCTTATCCAGTTAAGCCCTAACCCTTTAAGCTGTTTAAAGCCAACTTCCTATCCTTCCTCGCCTGAGGTGCTTCAAAAAGCCTGATGCTTTACTTACTATGTCCTTAGTCTTTATATTCTTTTTCAAAAAACATACTTCATAGAGAAGGGTTCTATTGCTTTTGCTCTCACATGAAGGAAGCATTTATATTTACTCACAGGATGTGTGTGCTGAGCAGTAACTAACTCTAAGAGGAATAAAAACTTTTAAGGTGATTAAAGCCACCAAAAGAAAGATTAGGAAAAACTGACTTGTTCTTGGGAAGGTGAGGGACTTGTTTAACACTTTATTTCTCCATCAAT